AACGATGTTTTATCGTTGGCAACAACAGTAAATTCATTAAATAGATCAAATTGCTTTATACATCAGAATGTAGTACGTAGGATGTGAAAATATTTCACTTTTTCTTGTCTTTCTTTTCTTTTTTTGGGTAACCCTTTCATCCTTTTCATAACATGAATGTACAGGGCATTACTTCAATTATTTGATTTATGTTATATTGAAGTGGCCAGTTAAATTAAGCTATACCTTGTAGACTGAGAAATGCGGTTCTGGGATTGTAGCTGATGAAGATATCAAACAAGGAGAGTTTGTAATAGAATATGTAGGGGAAGGTAATGTTTCTTTTTAATTTAATATTTCTGTTATTTATAATTTTTGCAAGACTATATATATCTCATGATGTACCACTATTTAAGACATAATGGGTGCAATTATTAACCATGCAGTAATTGATGATAAAACATGTGAAGAAAGGCTTTGGAACATGAAGCATCGGGGAGAGACTAACTTCTATCTGTGCGAGATCAATCGGGATATGGTAATTGATGCCACATACAAGGGAAATAAGTCGAGATATATAAATCATAGTTGTTGTCCCAATACTGAGATGCAAAAATGGTATTGCCCCGATCCTTCAATTTTCCGATCTCTATGGTATTATATCCTTGAAATGTATTCATTTTGGAGTAATTTCAGCTATGGATTCTTTTTAAAGGATAATTGATGGAGAAACGAGAATTGGCATATTTGCAAGCCGGGACATACAGAAGGGCGAGCATCTAACTTATGATTATCAGTATGATTTCTTGCAAAACTCTGAATGTCTACCATATTTAAAGAACTTTCCCTGCTGCATTCTTTTCTTTAAGGATGGATCTTTTACTCGCATGTTGGTTTCATATGATTACAATATTGGAAACTATTGTGACAGCTTCTGCTCTATCATCTATTTTTTCCCTCTTTTATGTACTGCTTCTCCGTGGCTAATGAATTTAGCAGGTTTGTTCAGTTTGGTGCAGATCAAGATTGTCATTGTGGTGCTGTTGGCTGCAGAAGAAAGCTGGGTGTTAGACCTACAAAACCAAAGATATCTTCAGATGCTGCATTGAAACTTGTAGCATGCCAGGTGGCCGTATCCTCACCAAAGCTGAAAGCAATCTTGTCCGGAAAAGATGTAAGTACTGCTGCAGGAGTTTGCTTGCTTATATAAACAAAATGCTGTAGGAGTTTGGTCAATCAAAAGTTGTGATGATTTATGGTACCTCCTGCTCATTTTTGTTCTCTGCATGTTGCCTTTGTATCTGAAAACTATATCAGTGACATACATCTAGATTTTTTATGCCCCTAATATGAAGCCTAACATGACGTGATAGTCATATCTTAAAGCACTATTGCGGGTGTTTTTGAAGAAAGGCATGGTAAATGTAAAAGCTTTTTGGAGTTCTGTTATAAATGCACGTCATACATCCTAACATTTCAAATAATACTGGAAAATTTGAGAATTTCACAAACGTCTGCTAGAAGTACATGTATGATATAAGTGGAG